GTAGGTACCCACGCACGCACACGGTCTTCTGCACACACACGCATATATATCTGAGCCGGAAAAAAGGCGGCGACATACACACATACAACATACAGCAGTCGTGGCTCCGTTATAAGAGGGTACCTTACAAGAGGGGGTCGACTCGACTCGCTATAAATTAGTAGGGCTACCCTCTGTAGAGCCCGGACCCTTTATAGTGGGGTCACCCCACTATAGAGGGGGTTACCGCACTATAAGGGGGCTTGTAAGCTAGGGACTGTCGCCTTTCACTCACGAACAAACGCACCTTCCTCACAACAAACGCCGCAGGAAGAATAGACCAGAGAGGAGCTGCCAAGGAATAGTGGTGTATTGGTGAAACTGGTGGCAAATGCAAGGGGGATATGATGCAAAGATGATGAAAGCACTCCGAAACGAACGCATGCGCAAAGTAGCAGCCTTGGGTAAACACGTGCAGCTCTCTTCTATTTTATTACTACCGTCTCTGTCTTAAATCTGGAGAGTAGCTTAGCCCCCCCCATTGCACCCCCTCATGGGGTCACAGACCTTGGCCTTTCGAAGCACTTTCTTCTGTGTTAGCTGCACTGAGACTGGCGTGTTTTCATTGGTTAGCCGGTTAGCGCGGTCGATGCAAAAAAAAAAAGTAAGGTACAGCAGTAAACTACACACGAACACACACATCGCGGCGCTAAGTAGAAGCAGGGGGCTGCTTGTGCTAGGCTAGAATTTCGTCCCTTTGTGGTTGTTGTTGTTGTTGTTGTCTTGACGTTGAACTCGTGTCAGTTGCTAAATAATCCCAAACTCTAGCAAAGACGCGGTCCGTGGTCACAAAAATGCTAGAGCCATCAGAAGATAGATCTAGAGAACACGCAAACTGGCAAGAACAGGGTACACAAGCCCGAAGAGGTACACCTATACATCCCTGCAGCACGTTTGCGTGCCCAAAACTGAAGTACCCGTCCACACACTTCATTCGACTACAGTACTGTATACAGCAGCATCATCCCCCCCGTCCCACACTGTACCAAAAGGAATGTTTGTCGACTACAGCGTACAGCTGTCTGTCCTTTAGCATACGGTTGAACACCTGCAGCGCAGACAGTTAAGTTCTCCTCTAAATAAATATGGGCAATGTGTGTATGTTGGTGTGCGCCAGGGGCCAGGGGGAGGTAGATAGACCGTTTGTTGGTGCAATACAACACTTACTTATACCGTGTGTACATGAAGTTTCTCATGTGGTCGGGGAGGTGTCCAGGAATTCTAACATGTCGGTTTTAATGCATGCATGAACATGCACTTTACCTCCTAGTGAAATGGCTGCGTCAACTTGGCTGCGAGGCAATTATTCTCTGGAGATGTTTCCACCCCATGAACTAAATACAAAACGGAAAGCGTTGGAAAGCGTTGCCGATACGATCACAATCACCCGGCTTGGTTTTGGCGTGTGAATTCGGGCAATCAGCCCACCACACGTGCGTACACTCCACCACGCCACTACATGCTTACACTACCTACTACACGGCATTGGTACGCTGTGCCGTAGTCAAAGTGCCTTTGTTGCTCGAGATTTCCCGATTTTCCCTTTTTTTTAAGAGGGTACCCTACTATGGAGCACCTTCATACAAGAAGGTAACCCTCTTATACCGATACAAGAGGGGGCTCCGATACAAGAGGGCCGAGGGCCTTTGTCACACCACCCTCTTATAACGAAGCCACGACTGTACCCCGAAAAAAAGCGGCGAGATAGCGCATCTAAGTTGGTACCAGTTACACACGGTATCAATTGGTTCCCGCTTTCGTTTCGGTCTTCTTCAACGGATACCAGTACGTACGCAGAAGTACAACAGCTTCGGGTTGTGTACGGTGGGGTAGGGTGCGGCTTGTACGTTGTGTGCTTGGTTGAGTGTACGGTTGGCAACGCAACTTCCATGCCAATAAAAATATGAAAACAACTGGCATCCCGCGTGAACCGCGACCATCCAATCATATGTAAAGGAGTGACGCTCCGCTGACTCCGTCCCCACGTGTAAAAGGTACGCACATGCACCTCATTCCGGCAGCTGAAAAGGAGTTCAATCTTTGATTTGGGGGTCGGAGAGATCGCACCGGGTGTGATCTCACCGACCCCGGTGCGTAAGTCGAATGAAATGTTCTCTTCTCGGGTTTTTTATCGCACCCCGGTGCCATCTCTCCGACCGGTGCCATCTCTCCGGCCCGTGCCAACTCTCCGACTCTTACGGTACTCAGCCAATAGACCCACGATCTCGACCATAGTTAGATGTTATGCATAGATACATGCTCATCTCTCCTGGCCTCACGCTCCCGGTTGTGCATACACGCAGGCGGGACTCTCACTCGCCGACTCTGACGGCCGTCCACACTGTTGTTGTTTGTTGTTTGCACGGTTTGCACGCTGTGTTCGCAACATATGTAAACAACGGGTGTGCTGCATTTACGCGTGATGTGACACAGTCTAGTCTAACTGAGCAGTGCTGGCAGGCAATCATCTGCCCGGCTTAGGATTTGGCACGTGAAACAGCTGTACATTTATAGATAGTCACGACTTCTTTTACGAAAGGCTCGTTGGTGCTATTATAGCGCGTTCGCCGCGATCGCTGTTAAGTACGTTCCACACCCCGTTACCGGTACCGCATCCGTGGCGCGCGAACTACCCAATAAGCGTACTGCTGTACGCCCGACCATTTTTAGCGCAACACCACAAGAAATAATTCCCGAGAAGGCTCGAATATACTTTACTTCTGTTGTCTTCTTTCACGATTAATAGAGGGCAAATAAATATAGTGCCAGTCTCCCAGCGCGCGCTCTCCCGGGGTTGCTATAATACAACAGCAACCGCAGCTGATTCATGGTGTACTCTATTGTTGTTGGTGTGGAAGGGTGTCTTCTTCACGTTGTTTACAAGCAAAACCTTCCGGTCTCCGCTCATCTCAGTACCTTGGAATATCCGTGGAATATCCGTATCGGTTAGTCCAACTGCTGCCCCTTCCGTGGTTGCAGGCCATCAAGAGAAGTATCCAGTTTGCTTACTGCTGGTGACCCGGTTTCAACAAGATAATTCTCAGGGGGGGTGCGCTGAGGTTGAAGGCTTGGATCTGTTGTCAACCATTATTGTTTGGGGCAATGTATTCTTGGTGGTCTTCTCAATCCTCCCTGCCGTGCATGCTGGCGGCTCTTCTTCCAGAGGCGTTTGTTAAGTGTACCGAGTCTGGTTACACAGCAGTAGTCCGCATCCCACACACCACATAAGGCTGGGCTTGACCACTTTTTGTAGGTCTGTTTATGGTCTGTTCGTGTCTCTTTAGGTCTAACCAGTGTTGAAGGCTAGGACACACCGTGGCCGACCCAACCCAACCCAACCCTAAACCCTCACCCGCGGCCAACGCACGGCCTAGCGGCCGCGAACTGGGCGAGAACGGTGAGAGGGCGCTGGACAGGGTCAAGGAACCAACGCCTGGCCAATCAGAGGGCGTGAAAAAGCGTAGATAGGAAGAGTCACTAACATACCGTAAGAACTACTAATACTATTTTTTTGCTCCCAGAAGTCGCACCCACATATTGTATGTACTACATTGTAGCCTGCCAAGAGTTAGAGCGGAAGTACCCGCACAACTCTGGGAGTAACAGCAGCGTGGCGGGTCTTGTCCACAAACCAGACCCAGAGCGTGCAGCATAACAACGAATAGGCTGTGGTTGGGGTTGCGCTGGCTAGCGGCTGTGTGTAGATGGCTGCGGCCAGTGAGATCCCTGAGCTGCGCGGGCCGGGAATGCCCTCTATTAATAGTACATGCCTCAGCGGGAGGGGGGCACAAGCCACAAACAACGCTTAAAAATAGGGGTTATGAATTTCACCCGACAACAACAACAACACCAACAACACCCAATCTAGCCGATGGTTCTGTCGATCTTTCCGGACTTCAATTGATTATAAGAAGTCTGTTTTCTTCTTTTTGTTTTTTACATGAGCGCTGACAGAATTTCTTCGGGGTACGTGAGCTCAATCCGTCGCCACACAGAAGGTCCATTCGCTGACCTGCCCACTAGAAGGTCAAGGTTGCGAGGGTACCAACAATCTATTAATAGACTACCGGGCGACCGGCTACTGGGGTGTGAAAATCCGGTCAACACGCGGTGGGTTTTGCAGAATGTCCTCTCGAAAATATCAAGAAACGCCTGCATATTTCGGTTTTCCGAAGCCTAACTCCAGGACGAATCTGCCATCGCGCCGCAACCGTCCGCCTCTTGAAAATATCAAGAAACGCCTGCATATTTCGGTTTTCCAAAGCCTAACTCCAGGACGAATCTACCGTCGCGCCGCAACCGTCCGCAGACGTCGCTGGTGTTCAATACTTGCAGTAAGATTGTAGCCCTTGTGATAGATACACTATTGCAGTGTACAGATTTGCGGCCCAAGATTTTCGAAGCTACTGTAACCTTTTATGGTCGAGCTCGGTGTGAGCGATAAGCAGGATTTTTGAAGCTGCTGTGCGGTCCGCTTTTTGTTCGAACGCCTCAAAGGGTTCTGGGCTCCTCCCTGCAGCCTCTCGTGTTGCACGCACGTGCCCCCCCCGATGAAGGAGCTACAGAGAGACGACTGTTTTTGGGATTTTAATGGTGTAATCCCACAGCACGAGATGGATTTGGGTGGTGCCTGCCCAAAATAGGTCACTCGGGTGTTGAGTATGCGTGTCAAGAAATAAATGCTAACATGCAACTACGGCAGTTACCCCCCGCGAAATTTGGCGTTTTGGAGGCAGTTAAGTGATTCGGTCCACACAGGCAGGGGACGGTTACGCTCAACATCAGGCATGCCCCGTAGCTGCACCGCCTCGCCACTCTCATGAAAGCTTAACCTACCCGTTGTGGTGGCGGGACTCCGAAATCGCTGTTTTGGATGCGTAGTCAGCGCTCACATCCAACAGAGTCGAACGCAGCCACGTCTCAAAACTAATTCAATCCTGCACTCGACTCCCCACCCCCCTATGCTACACAGGCGGGCACGGTACGGATCCGCCAGCTCACTCTCTTCTCAACCCCAAGCGGCCGCGGACGATAGGGCGGCGGCGGCGCAGTCATCGCGCCCGGGCGAGACCACCGGTCTCCTCCCGTCCAGGGGCGGGACTATCCAGGAGGATGGGGGCGGCGGCGGGAGGCCCGGCGGCGGGCTTAGGAGCGTGGGGTTCTCTGATACGGTCGAGCTCGCTTCGTTCGAGCACCTCCTCGAGGAGGAGATCGACAAGGCAAGGAAACGCGAGTGTGTTGGTTGTGATTTTGGTTGGTCTTGGTCTTGAGGAGCAGGCAAGGAGTGTTAAATGGTCTTGAGAAGAATGCATGGCGCGAGTGTCATTGTGATTTTGGTTGTTCTTGAGGAGATGGGCAGGGCAAGGCATCAGTGTCGTGTATTTGTTGGTCTTGAGGTTTGTTGTGGTGGGGATCGTGGTGTTGCCATCATCGTTTGTCCAAGAAGAAAAAAGGATTCCAAACAAAGACGTGCACGAAATTTGAAGGCGGGCACCGCGGGGGGGAGTTTAGGACAGAGGAAGGACTGCGGAATACCGTAGGTTGCGCAATATACCACACCCTCTGGCCCGATTTTCGAAGCTCGATTACTCGGCAGGAAACACGGTGACGGTGCCCAAAATGGCGGGAGGCGTTGGAACCGTCCCGTCGAGAGCTTTCCGACAACGTATGCTTTGATCTCAGCATCCTCTTCGCCGGCGGTGGAGTAACACGGCTTTGGAAATCATTCTAGGGGGTGTGGTACCTTTTGCAGCCTACGGTACCCGTTCGATATATGTTTCTCGGAAGGGATGTTCTTGGAGATTACTCAAGGCGAAGATCTGAACGACACCTGCTGCTGCGAAAGTGACCTTTGGAAGGAAAGGTCCCATCTCCCTGACACCTAGATACATCGAGGACGATTGATTCCCCTCTGTAACAACTGGCGTCATCGCCGTGAATTTCTTTTTCGTTGCGCCCGCAGGTTTCTCGAAAACGAACTTCTTGGCGATTATTTTTGGCGATGGTTTGAACAACACGTGCCGTTTTTTTTTTTTATTGCCACAGGTGGAGCGTTTCTACCTGAAGGTGGTCAACGACCTGGAGGGCGAGCTTACCGACCTTGACCCTACCGTGCCGATTCAGGCGGCCCTCGAGAGCCACAACGAACGCCACGCCGACCCGACCGCGGCGGGGGATAAGTCCCCCTGGGTCATGAAATGTGAGAGAATGCAACAGCAGCAGCAGCGGTGAAGCGCAAGGGATAACGCCGCAAGGTCTGGGTGGTGCGCTTGGTTGATTTGTGTGGCTTGACCTGTGAAACGCGAAGTGTTTTGTTTGCTGTGCTGATGTTGGATTGGTCACGAAAGTACCCTGGTGAACCGGTGTACCGTGTCACCGTGTCAGGGAGGGGGTAAATTTTGTGTGCGAGACGGCAAGGAGCAGAATGAGAGTGCTTTGCTGCCTACATGACCACGCGGCACTCTCTTGTCTTGTAGGGCGTTGGTTATTTTTTTAGTTTTCAAGCGTTGCACGAGGCGGGTGGCTTACCTGCTTGGCGGTGTGCTGGAGGATCAGGCAGGCTCTCTCTCTCTCTCTCTCTCTCTCTCTCTCTCTCTCTCTCTCTCTCTCTCTCTCTCTGATTTCCGTCTCTTTCTTTCTCCCTCCGTTTATCTATTTATCTGTCTATCTTCAGTCTCTTGCTCTAAGTCTCGCTCCCTCGCTCTTTATCTATCTCTGTCAACCTCTACTATTCCTTTCTCTTCTTGCACCCACAAATTTCTTGCGTTCTCAAATTTCTCGTGCTCAAGCTCTTTAGTGGAAGAACGAATAATATCAGCGTGCCCATATGTCCGTTTTCACTACACCCTTCGGCGCCAAAACTTCCACTTCCCCCGGCCTATCCGCCCCGCCTACCCTGAACCATACCGCGCAGCGAAACCAAAGCTGGACAAGAAGAGGGAGGATTCTCTGAAGCGGGCACTCTTGGACCTGTACCGAGACCTTACCCTGCTGCAGAACTTCGCCATCGTCAACTACACGGCTGTCGTGAAGGTCCGCGTGGTGTTTGGAGCGCGTGTTTGTTTCGTGGCGGTATGTGGGGGGGGGGGAGCGGGGGCGACGACGCGTTTTGCGTTTTTTTGTTCCAGTTCCTAAGAAACTATTTCGTGAGCAATCGACGAAGAATTTTTATTTTTCTGGAGGGAGAATGAATGGGTCGAGGCTGTTTTTCCCTCAATGACAAAAAAGTGGGTGTCTGCGCGTTGTGCACCAACTGCAATACTAACTTCCCAGAGGCTTGGCTAAGAAAAGTGGTGAATTCGTTCCATTTTGTCCATGGGCCGGAAAGAAGGAAAATAGACAGACAGCGCCTCTTTTTTTGCACAACTGACTATTTTGGCCAAGAACACAGCAATGGCGTGGTAGTCAGGTGTCAAGGCAGGGCGAATCCGCAGCATATGCGATCGATAGCAGATGCGTGTTCGTGGCAGTACGCAAGTTAGCATAACAGCGAGCGAGTGCTGATTTGTAGTCGCCTTTTTTTTTTGCTTCTACCGGTGGGGCACGATTTTGGTGCGCGTGCGCGCTTTCGTTGATTCTCGCAACCACGATAGATGGCCTGTGATGTTGGACACCACGAAAGTAGTATGGTTTCTTTTCAGAAGCGTTCACGCCCCCCCCCCCCCCCCCTCCACGGCAGTTTGTTGCATGCACGATCGGTGCCGTGTCATGTGGTTGAGGTGATGGTTGGTGGTTAGTGGTGGTGCTGCTGCTCTGGTGCTGCTCCTTTGGTCGATTTCAGGAAGGGAAACATTTTTATTTTTTTTTCACTGCCCGCCCCCGCCCCGCCGCCAAAGTAGGAAGGAACGACTGGCCATCGGTGATCAGTCCTGTGGGAACAAGGCTCCGTCCTCTCGAGGACGCGTGGCAAATGGTCTAACCGCTAAGGCATGCAACACATAAGAGTACGATCCCCCCCCCGCCCCGCCGCCACCGCTCCTCTGCCGATGGTGTTGTGCGGTGCGACTGACGACGCTACGCTACGCTGCGGTATCCGTTTTGTTGCGTGTTGCTCGTTTGTTGTGTTTTTGTTCGTGGCGTGATTAGATAACGAAGAAGTACGACAAGCAGGTGGTGGGGGCGGAGGAGCAGGAGTATCCCACCAGGGCGAGCCTCGACCCGGCGGTTGCTATCACGGGCAGGATGCTGGAGCACTTGCACCATCAGGTGACAAAATAGGGTACAGCAGGTGTAGCACGGAGCACTTGGTGGCAAGATAGGGTACAGGTGGTTGTGCGGGTGGGGCCTGGGGCGCTTGGTGACAATATAGGGTACAGGTGACGGTGCGGGTATTGCCTGGAGCACTTGGCGACAACAAAGGGTACAGGTGGTAGTGTGGGGGTTGCCTGGCGCACTTTAACCGTCAGGTGACAAGATAGGGTACAGGTGGCTGTGTGGGTGTTGCCTCGAGCACTTGGTGACACGAGTACACCGCCCTTCGTCCCGTCCCGTCTGGACTTCTTCGTCCGTTGAACGTTCTTTTCGGTCAGGACTTCTACCACGTGAACAAGCTCAGGAGCGTAACCGCGGCGTGCGAGACTTTCTATGCCGGTATTTTCTGCGGAGGCAACGTGGCGCAGGCCCGGGGTCTGATGCTGCCGCAGAAGACGGACGAGAGGATAGATCTCGCACAATTCCAGGTAACAAAAGAGGGTACAGACGCATGAACAACGGACGCCATTCGTTTAATAGCGGGATAAACAAACGGAGACGCGAACACGCTTTTTTTAGCCAACGGGATGCTTCTTGTAGTCAACCGGCTTTCTCTACCCCCACCGTATCTCTCTCTCTCCCTCCCTCCCTCCCTGTTGCGTGTCTGGCGCCCCTGTGTATGTGTGTGTGTCGTAGCTCGGCTACCGCATGGGCATGGCCGCGGTCCTGGCGTTCTGGATCCTCTGGGACTGCTGCCTGGAGCCCGAGGGAGACGACCCCGGCTGGCAAGTCAGCGTCCTCCTGCACCCAGCCTTCCCGGTGAGAGCCGCTGCCAATAGCCCCCCACCACCACCACCGCCCCGCCGCCCCCGGTGTTCGCAATCGGGGTTGAGTTCTCGTCGCTTGGCAACGACGTTGGTAAACAAGCCAATTCACTTCGTCAACTCGGCAACCAGGTTACCGGGTTTTTTTTTGGCGGTAACCATAATGGTGGTCGAGTAGATCATGTTGTGCGGGGTGGAGAACCTTAGCTCCGCGCAAGGGGGATGATCGCACCACGTTGTGTTAAAATGGTCAAGCATCCTCGAGGCAGTTACACAGTGCTTACAACTGTCTCTGGAAGTGTAGCACCAGAAAATAAATTAAGTCATACGCAGCTGTCATCCGTACGCAAGGAAGTAAGCACAAGATGCCGAACACCCTTAGCAGGATGCAGCTCACCCTTCATGCGACTCGCCGAATACCTCACGGCGCTTCGCGCTTGGTGATGTGAGAGCCTGGTCCGGTGAGAATCCGGCGTGCTCCGTCCCGGCTTTGTAGGGATGCGAGGTCAATGGTCTAACGACTACGGCATGCACGACTATGAGTACCCCCCCCCCCCCCACCGCCCGCCGCCGCCGCCGCCGCAATATGTAACACTGACGCTGGGCAGGCGATAACACCAAGAGGTGTGTGTGTGTCAGCGGCTACTGCTCACTGTCTGTACCCCCACCCCCCCACCCCTTTTCCGCTCCTTTCTGCTTCTTGGGGTGACGTACTTTTACGTGACGGCTGAACAATTTATTTTCCGCTGTGGAACGAACTCACCCGGGGACTTGAACCGTTTTTGGGAATGTCAGGTTTACCGCGCCTTGGCAGGCATTCTGCTTCTTAGGTGGTGCTGGGGGCTGTCCTCGCTGGTCTGGGGTAGAGCACGGTAAGTTGTTGGCCTCTGCGCTGCTGCTGGCGGGTTATTATGTACGCAGGGGAGAGGGTGCGTGGGCGTTTTTTTCTTTCTTTCTTAGACGTGTAAGTTCTTGTATCTCGTATAACACCCCCGTCTTTTCTGGCTGTAGCACACCTCTTGTGTGCGGTCTCCCCCCCTCTCTGCTGAGGAGGCTCGGCGTGTGCACTGAAGGGTTGATATTCATCGGCAACAGTTCCTCCGCAACAGTTCCTCCGCAGCAATTCCTCTGCGGTGCGTGGACAAGAAGCCCCGTGCAAGCGATGAAGGATGGAGCCAAGTTTTGAGGGAAACTCCCTCTCCGTAATTGACTTGAGACTGCTATGCATGCGTACATGCTACTGCCGCTGCTGCTGTTGCGCGTGTTTTTTTTTGCCCCACGTGGCTCGGCGAGAAAGCGCCGTCAGTCATCATCGCCCCACCAATGAGCGACACGCGTCTCCAGTTCTTGCCCCCCGGGTATACGAACGTTAGGAAGAAGAAGGTTCCAAACATTCTAAACTGTTTCTCAAACTTGTGTCACCGCCGTTGTGAATCCATCGCCAAGATTCAGTTTTTCTGGAGTGTAAAATCTACGGATTGAGATGTGTTTGTGTTGGTTGTTTGTGTAAGAATTGCAGCAACATAAAACAATAACACTCAACACGGAGAGACAAGTATCCCTGGTGTCAGTGAGGGTATCGTCTGCTCAAGGAATCCCCAGCCATGTTCACCGCTGTGCCCTGTGGCATCACGTATCACATGCTGTTTCGGGGCAGAGTAGAGCAGTTTTTGTTGAACGGACACAGCCTCCTGCGGAGCAAATAAAAAGGTGGTACAACAGCAGTAGAAGCGGCGCGCTTTGCACGGGCCCCCGACGGAAGATTGACTCGGAGGTGACACTCATGGATTTATCGTAACCCCCCTCGTTGACTCCCCTCCCTTTTTTATTTTTTCCCGTCGCCGCTTGATTGCACCGCACCTTGCATGGCGTGGTCTTTCTTGGGCGGTGGGCTCGGGTGTTGTTGTTGTTGTTGTTGCTGTTTGATTCGGCGGAGGAGCAGAATCAACTACATCTACCTCTTCGACATGGACCCAAGAGCGGTGTCCTCTCCGCTGCAGGTGTTCAACAACGTGGCGGCGGAGACGGTGGTGTACCTGGCGAACCTGCTCCTGTACTACAAGGTATATAGACCACAGCAGTACAATAGTAGTACTTGGAAAATGGTGAGATGATATTTTTAGCGAGGATCACCGTTGAAAAGGGTCGCCTTTCACATCATCCCGCTCCTGTATTACAAGGCACGGCTTCCAAATTGTGGAGATGACAAGGGTCATATCAATCCTCTCCTGTATTATATACACTAAGGTTCTTCGATTCTGCTGCGGAGATGGCCTGTTAAAAAGGGTCGCATGACGTGGTGTTGCACACACAGAGAAGCGTGCTCTTGCATAACCACCAAGTGTAGCGCCTCGTTGGACACATCTTGGGGCGCTCGACCAGTCGCTGGTCCGATCATCTTGTTCCAATACATGCCTTCAATCGAGTGTACTCTTGGCTCCGATATTCTACAAGAGGGTACTGTGACAAAGGGCCCTCGACCCTCTTGTATCGGAGCCCCGTCTTATTCCGGCACAAGAGGGTACCTGACTACCCTGAAAGCGGGTCGAGTCCGTGACACAACCGATTTCGACCCGCCCTCTCTCTTTGTTTTGGAGCCACGACTGACTGTACTGGCAAAATCACCGCGTAGCAAGGAATTTCTCAAGGCCGACCGTCTTCGACTCACAAATCTACGCCCCCCCACGCCAAAAGTTATGGACAAGAAGGAAGGCGCTCGGGACGAGAAGCGTTCCAAGATGAGGAACGGCAGCAAAATGTTGCCACTTACAATCCCAGACTCGAGCAACATACGCTGAACACTGGGGTTATAGTGGGGATAGTTGCTGCTGTTCCTCGTCCTCGCACGCTTGTCTTGCCTAAGCGCCTTCCGGCTGGTTCAGAAGTTTGGCGTGGCGGGCGTTTTGGGGAGTCGAAGACGGCCGGCCTGCCTTTGAGAAAATCGGAAGGGCTATTGCCAAGAGCTCCTGATACAGTCAAGTCAGATACTCTTGACGCCGGTATGATTTACTCCTCCGCACGATTCAGGGAAGGAGGCCCAGAGAGGGGGGGGAGACGAAGTACGC